CTATCAGGTCAGGAGCCACTGAGTCGAGCACACGAGTGTGTGTCAAGAGGCGGGAAGGCTGCCATTTACAGAGCATGTAATACAGTACTTCCCCTTGTCTGACAATGATGCTGCCCTAAATTCAAACAACAAAGACACTTAAGGTGGCTTTTGGGGCAAACAAGCCCACAGTACTATGTGGTACAACTGCAAGAAATCTGTCATTTGTGTTTATTTCATTTGTGAAATAATGTCTTCGTCTTTTTGTAAAGACCAAGAGTTCTGCTGCAAAGCAGGACATAACAACTTGGTGCACACAGGCAGATCACACAGCAGCTGTAGGTGTATTAGTTTAAGTGAGCAGCATGGAGCACTGTCACAAGCTGCTCTCTGTTCTCAGCAAAGGTTTTCCATCTGGGCTGTTTGTCATGAACATTTAAGTCTTGTGGACACACAATCCATCCATAGTTTAAGACTGTAATATGTAAGAAGGATGCAAACTATTAGTGCAGCTGATGTCTCGCTGCCTCTCAAGTGATTTTTTTTTTTTTGCCATTCAATCCATGTATTACGCAGGTGTATGACTCTGGGGACACGGGTAGTAATGTATACTTTTGTGTATTCAGTTATAGGGCGGGTTTATCAGGTGACAAAACAAGACTGTTTCTAATGCTGTTTAGTTTCTAATGCTGTGTTTTCTTAACTCATGATGGTCGGGCTGCAGAGGACCATGTACTGTACTGTTTATAAACAGAAACTAAGTGTCGATGCAAAAGACCTTGGATGATGTTTCACAGATACAAGTTAAGCTCTGAGCTTTGTCATCTGTTGGCAGTGGTGTTTGTGTTGTAGGCGGTGATTTAGCAGCATAAAAGAAGAGTTTGTCATATCATTGTACAAAGTTGAAATTACTCTGAACTATTCTGACCACACATGGCTGTTACTACGTGTAATTTACACTTGTTTTGAAGTTTCTATAAAATTTGAGCAAATATCTAAAAACCTTAAGTATGTGTAAGATAATGAGTATTTAAAAAAAACAACTTTCTGACGGAGTGCACTGGACTGCGCAGTAGCAATAATTACAAAAGCGTGGCCTAGATTTGGTGAAGTCTTTAATGATGCATTGTTCTGGTGTCTTCTCTCCCAGTACCTGAGGCTATGATTGTACAGAGGCGTTTGTGTTAAGACCACCACATTAGGTACAAAGCATGTAAGATGTTCATGTCTGTGCATGAAATGCCACTTATATTTAGTGAGAGAGGTCCTTTCTGCTTAGTGAGTCATCCAGGATGCAGAGACCTTCTGTTTTGACTTCAGACATTATTATGACTTCACAGTAGAGAGATTTTCTTTCACTGTCTTTGGTTTCTTGGTGTCTGGGTCACAGTGAAAACAGAGATGTCTGCAGAATAATCCCAAAGACCTTTGACTGTCACCCTGCTGTCGGTCTCTGAGCTGTGTGCTGTATTAGCATGGCAGAAGTGTGGAAATGATCTATGTTAATTTCTGCTTAGATTTTGAGCATATTTCATATGTTCTAGTGGCATCTCTTAACATGAACCCTGCAGCCACACATCTCTTTTCATATCATGCAATTTGTTTTGGTCATTTCAAAGAGAAGAGGGACACGAATGAACTCAAGGTTCACAGCCAATATTTATTTTCATGAGAATCATTTATTACCCCATCAAAAAGTTAAAAATATCATGGAATATATGGACATTATTATGGACCCCATGCAAAGAATAAAAGAAATGGTGTAAGAGAAATTCACTACCACTTGTGTGAAAATATTAGTGAATTTTCATGTACTTCAGAGTAACTAGGATCCCTGAGACTGTAGAAGTCCATTTTTTTCTAAGTGGGGAACGAACAGTCAGATAAGCGACCGTACTGGTAAAATCCTAAACCAGTGACTCCCACACAGGATGATTGTCTGAGTCCTGACTGTGCATAGAGCTTAAGCCAGTGTCTGAGTCGTCGTCGTTCACACTGTGAGCTTTTGACAGACCTCTGGCCTGCTCCACCCACTCGCATTTCCCCTCCAAACTGCTCAACATCCTTGTTTTATTATCCGTGCCCTGACAACATGTCTCCCCAAGGGCTGTCCCCTCCTCCATGTCCATAGTGTTCAATTTCTCCAGCAAATCTCTCATCTCCTTCTCCCTCGCCACGCAAATCTCTTGGCTCAGCTCTAAATCGCTGTTAATAGCTTCTAAATCCGTGTCGAGGCGCAGACCGATGTATAAACTCACATTTAGCTGCGTTTTGAGCCTTTCTTCTTCTATAAGCAGCTCGTTTTCTGATGTTTCTGCCTGGATGCTGGAAGGCTCCGTCTCTCTGCTCTGCAGCTCCTCTTTCCTCCGCTGCATCCAGCGGTGGTTCAGCTCCTCTTGGAGCTGCATTGTGATGATGTCTATAAGAGCTTCCTGCTCCCACAGCTCCTCTTGTAGTCTAATCACCTCCTCACACTGCTGGACATACTCTTCAAACTTGGCAAGAGTTTCTGTTGAACACAGTTGGTCTGCCTCTCGGTTGGAAGCAGCAGTGGCATCCACCAAATACGTGTCCTGAACATAATTAATCCCGTGCCTTTTAATTCTGTCAAAATGCACTTTTGCCTCGTACCTTTCGATCTCTGCGTCCAACTCTGTAATCCTCTCGATCTGCTGGCGGATTGTATGGTCACGAGAAACCACAAGATGAACCAAAGTTTCCATCTTCTCGGCAGAGGACGCGTGTCTGTGCGCCGCCTGCGCCCTCTTCCTATTGATCTTCTCCAACTTTCTGAAAGCTTTCCTCACAATCCGACGCTGTTTTTCTGGTGAGATGTCCGCCTCGGAAGACCGTACTGCGCCTTTGGAAATACAGGGGCTCTGTTTACTGAGCACCACACGCGCCTCTGCGCTCCGTGCTCCGTGGTTCGCCAGAGACGCTTCACTTTTCACCAGCACAAACTTCACGTTTGTCTGCTCTTCTCCCCACGCGACCCAAAGCCGCAAAATCTTTGTTTTCTTCGGCAAAATCCTCTCGAAGCCTCTCCATTTCTCCACGATGCAATAAGACTGTGCCGTGGAAAAGCTGTGCTTAGAGTTTTGGTCTTCCAGAAGCACTTTGACAACATCAGCACAGGTTGTGCGTTTTGACAAACCAAGGACGAGTTTTTCTTCTCGGTAGACCCACACCGATATCTTGAGCTCCTCCGACTCCATTGTGGATTTCTGTTTAAAACTGTATTTTGGTTTTCTAAACAGATAAAAGGGTTTAAATCCGTGTATCTGCAGAAAAGCTACCTCCCCCCTGTGTGCATGCCCGCTGCGCCCCACATATATCAGAGAAGTGGCAGATGGGGCTGGACGTTTGGAGCTCCATGTATCGTCCTGTGCACTTTCCCGAGGCCAAATCAAAGAAACACTCCGGCTGCGTTTGTGTTGCGCCCTCACATGACTGCCACCAGCAAGTGTCAGTAAAGGATTTTTTTTTAGCGTTGATGAACCACTAGCTGGAGCCAGAATGATTTCTGCAAAGCATTGATCATCAGATGCTTCACTATTTTCTGTGGCCTTGGAGGTTTATTGGGTCATGATGGTCAGTGCACCCACCAGTCTTTGATTAAATGTTAAGACTTATGTAGTAAATGTCCCTTGATGCTGCATTGTTCAAACTTATTTAAGACAAATGATTTATTTTGACTTATTCTTTCAAATTTAACTGAGTGGAAACTTAATTTGCCACAGATGGCAAAGGTGCTGTCAATACAGAACTTTTAACAGGGTAGCATTATAGACACAATAATCTTAACAATTTACTTTTATATCGCACCTCTAAAAATAAAACAAAAGAAATTGGTACCAGAATAAAAATAAAATCTAGTAAATTGTTACAGTGAATAAAATGCAATAAATACAGTAAATTTTAATTATCCTTTTTTGATTAAAATGTCGAACATGACCCTTACAGTTGGATTTGCCAGTTTCTGGGTGCAGAGAGATTTCTCATAGCAACTGTAGTCACCACCTGAAAATACTCACCCTTCTTATCTGGTGCCGTAACAGGTTGTAAATGTATCAAGTGCCACTTTCAAATGATAAAACGTATATGTATGTATGTGTATATGAAAGAAAGAAAGATATATCCAGTCTGAAAAAAAAATCATTTACTGCAGAGGATTTAGTTGATGCACTTTGTGCATCGTGGCAGAGATACAAGGTAACATAATCTAGCCAATTCAGAAATACGAGTGGAGCAGTGGTGACCTCTGCTTTAGCTGAATTACACTTTTTGTGTTCAGTGATCTGAATAGTCAGACACTTTGCTTTTGTTTGATATGAGAGGACTCAGACTCCAGTGTCAGTGTCGCCTTCAGATGCCCAAGGTGGAATGTGAATTAGATGTTTGTAGTGGGGACACTGTGTGGCTACAACGTAAGGCTGAGTATTAATTTAATGCATTAAGTTTCTGATTTGGGTTTGATACTGTCTAAATCTAAAATATTGGATGTTCATCAGAGTCATGACCACTGAGCTTTGAAAAATTAAATGTATCACTCTGGTGCATTAAAATGACATCAGATTTTGGAGCGCTTTGGTTCATTTATGCACCACCAAAAAAAAGGCTTTGAAACACAGAATGATACTTTTACCAGTGGTGAAAGAAGTACTCAGATCATTAAAGTAAAGCTGTGTATTTAACAATGTATATCATAATATTGTTATTATTACTGATCTGTTGCTGTGTCCATCACTGTAATGAAGCTGGTAACGGGGGAGCTAGTTTTATGATTATAATTTGAATTACTGCTGGGTAGCTTGTAAATTTTCCATCTGAGATCAATGAAGTCTTATGATTATCCTGTAATGTTTGTATTAATCTGGTTCTGAAGAGTAACTAAAGTGAAATGTAGTGAAGTAGCCAAAATTACAGTAAAGTACTGATCAAGCCTCAGATTTGGACTTAAGTAAATGTAGTTACTTTCCATCCCCCGCCCCACATGTTATATATGCATTGACTGCAAAGACCAATCAATTTGCAAAGTGCAATTTGAAATCTCCCAATTTGACTTTTTAAATTGGATTGGCTGAAAAAAAAAGTCAAAACTGAAAACAGGGCAGTTACAGCAGAATATAAATGTTAAAATAGCACAGTCTTCTACAACTGTAAGAAAAGACCATGCATGTTAATCATAACAGTAAAATACTGGCAGGGACCATTTTTCTGCATAATAAGTGTTTAAATCTGATACTTTAAGTACATTTAGCTTATAGATACAGTTGTACTTTTACTAACAAATTTAAATCCAGAAGTTGTACTTGTAGTGAACAAAAGGCTCTGAGAACTTCTTCCACCACTGGTGCCTGCATCATAAACGCACAAGGAAGAAAACGTCAATGTATTTGCTTTTAATGTGACGGTGTCGCCCTCTGGTGACGACTTCTGTTACTACAGTGGTCGACATTAAAATACGTTCCCGTGCATGTCCAATAGGGACACTAACAGTTAAAAATAAAGCAAATACCAGGCTCCATCTGCTGTTGATCTGAGGTTTTTGCAGTTGACCTGATGGCGCTTCAGCCCAGGCTACAGGTACACATCCATACAGTGTCTGAAAATGCTACTGAGCTTACTGCTTCAACACATTTAATAATGTTTTAGTGAAGTGACAAGAAAAAAGGAGGCAACATTTTTCAGATTTATTTGTCAATATTGCATACATACAAAGTATCCAGAAAGCTACAAAATATCTACTATTATCAAGAAAGCATCATAATGTTACAGATCAAAGACAAGACCATATGCAGAACACAGAAACATAGCAGAGCTGCTTTTCTCTCCTGTTGTGGAAGGATGTCACATCTGTACCAAGAAAAGCAAAGGTTGTATAAAGCACCTTCTTACAAAAAAAGAGATCTGCACACAAACCCAAATGTGTGTATGACAACTATATGTGAGTTATGTGAAGAATCACTTTAAAGCCACTGTCTGAACATGGTCATAAAACATAAAAGGTACCAGTACCTACGCTTTGACAAAATTACAAGAGCTAAACTGCTGTTTCTTGCACAATTCCTTGACTTAGCTGATTTATGTGTCCATTTTCTCAGCAAACGGTCCACCAGACATTCATGTCATTGAAGACATCAGTCCTGCTGTTTTTGTGTGTGTCTGTGTTGAAATGTTAAAATGTACCAGCAGTGCAGCAGTAACATTACCATCTTATTGGGCTTGCAATATACAAACGCCATCACAGAACCAGGTACAACAAGTACAATAAGAAAACAGGAACATCTCACTAAGTAATCAATAAATGTGAACAGATACACAGGGTAAACATAAGAGAAGCCCACAGTGTCCACAGGACTGTGGCAAAAATACTGAATGACTGAACTTTATCTGCATCCACCAGACACACTTAGAGCTTCTTCGATTAAAATACTTTAGATGATTATATTTCTATTTAAGAAATGGTAAATGCTTGCAGTGAAAAGTATTAACCTCAAATGGCCTCGTCCACAGTAGCTGTTGTAAAAAAATTAAAACAGGTTTAGGAAATGGATTTAGCCACAAAACGGTTCTAAATTTTCTTTTAAATTGGTTCTGTAGACTTTTTATTAAAAACGCCTTCACTTTTCATTCTGAAAGATAATTGATAAACACCGATGTCAGTCGTTGCCTCGTCGACATCACAGCTGTGTGTGCGTCATCTTTAGGAGAATCTGTTTTCTGTGGTTTTCACATTGAGCGAACGTGTGGTCGCAGGGAAGAGGAAACCTTTAAAAAAAAAATAAAATAAAACACTTGAACCTGCAAGTGTGCACGAAGCAGACAGCTGCAGTGTGTTTAAGTTGACACCTGCGTGCAGTCAGAGGCTGTACGTTATCAGCAGGTCTTTCAGGTTTTCTTCAATTTACAACATAATAAAAATGTATATCATTTGTATATTATCAGTAATCAGCTTTCCCCTGATGTTGTTACAATCCTTTAAAAAGGCAATGTGGTGATTGGTTTCACTTAAGTCTCCTTTTTGGTCTAGCAACATTTAATTTTGACTTAGATTTTTATTTATTTTTTTTTTTGAAGCTGGACATTTCGAACCAAAGGCACTTCCTTGCTACCATGCAGGACATGACAAAAGATGGACTGTTTCTCTGTATTTTTGGTCTTCTACAACAGGAAAGGCAGTCTGTGTTTATAGTTTGCTCTTAGAAAAAGTCTAGTTTAGGAACATATTTCAGAGTTACAAAAAATATATAACCTGTATCGTAACTGAGTCTAAATTTGAAAATGTGTTTAACATAAGTGTACTGCCTCTCAAAAATCAATAAAAACTGTATTTGGAGGAATGTACCAATTACAAGGAACATAATATACCAGCGAGCTATGTTTGCCTGTCTCATCCACAGAAGTGATTTTAGACTTAAAGCAAAGAGTAATGTTAGAATATTCTAAGGCACTGTACACTTTGGCAGATTGTATTGTGAGCTTCTTATACAACGCAAACATTGACTCCTGCTGCACAGAGATCACAGTTTTAGTGGTATCTTTTGGAGTTCACACCGAACTATAACATGTTCAAGGCTCAGGCTGGTGTAGGCCACAGCAAAACATGTGAACATAGTGTGAACATGAAGGCAGCAACACTCTGGCTTGGAGTCATTGCACCGTGATCCCAGAGGGCAAAGATATTCTGAGTCTTTCAGGGGGTGAAGCCGCAGCATACTTAGCAAGGCCTGCTGTCGAGTCATTTGTAGTTATGAGTTTTTTTTTTTTTTTAAACCGCCATTCTAAAACCACAGATCTGAAGAATGTAAACATCACTAAGGCAAATCAGGAAGGGGAAAAAAGTGCTTTTGGACAAGATGAGTCCGGTTAGGGTAAATTTAGCACTACTTTCACCTGCGTAAACGAACCTAAAAATTCTCTTATCTGTTGTCAGAGGAAGGACTCGTTTGCAGCACAGAAATGCTGACTAGGTGGTAAGACATCCTACATTTATGGAGCAGATACAGGCAAAATGTTTGTAGTATTTTCACAGTGCATTCTTTTCTGTTAGTGTCTAAGACTTGGAGTGCTTCAACAGGGATAAATATACCACCGAAAGCTGATTTTTATTTACTTTTTTTTTTTTTTTAGATATAGTATTTTTGCTATTTTCACAACCACTTGCTTTCAGATACTGTGTATGTAGTGTTAGTTTTGTTTCTTTGGAAAATCTATTGACGCATCGGTGCATGCCTGTATACCTACAGTATGTATCTGCCAGTTATGAACTACAGACATACAAAACACAAACAACATCAGGCTGCTGGTAGAAAAGGTCAGCAAAAGTTTTTTTTTCCTTGGTGTACATAACAAAGCAGAAGACAACACACATTTCCATTTACCAAATGAATCTAGTAAATTCTTTAAGACCGTCCACACGTATACCCAACTGAGACCAACTTGACATTTAAAACAAGAATTCCCGTATTTAAACATAAAACAAGTGTACCGCAATTCACTGCTGCAGTCAAATAACAAACATTTTATATTAAAACAATTTCGAACAACTGACATCACCCAATACCATGACCAGGTAGAGGCACTGCCACTTGTTTTGAGGTTGGTAAGTCTATGAAAAGAAGGGGGTTGGGTGGGGGGATGGAGCTCAGAGCGTCTCATTCCTTTACCAGCCTGTAGATGTGATGCTGGGCACCATGCTCACTGTTTGAAACTTCAAACACACACGCCATACATAGCAGTGTCTCCTGGGTGTCCCTGTTCGTCACCACCTGCAAGAGAAAAGCCGCTTATTAGTACAGAAGTAGTGTGATCTGTTTAAAAAGAAGTGGAGAAAAAGGAGTTGCCTTGTTTCCAAAACAATAAACACAGGTGCAGAACCAAAAAACTGCAGTTAGTCATAAATGGATGTGGACACACCCTTAATCATGCCAGTAACTCAGTGAAACTTAGTTGGCACAGATGAAATGTCCAGTGCAGCTTTCAGTCAGTCTTATAAACGGCCAGTGAACAATACAACATATAGTTAGAAGATCCGCCAGCGTCGTTTTGATCTGCTACGGATTTACTGGGAATTCATGCTGAAAGCAAAACGTGAGCTCAGGTCTGTCAACAGGACAGTCTTGAGTGATTTAAACAGCTGTCTGTGGAGATTAGCTTCTGGAGCATTCAGTGAAGTGTAAAGCTTAAAAAATGGATCCGGGGGTGACGTGCTCAGTGTCAGTTGAGCAGTGTATGTTTGGGGCGTGCTGTACTATATGTTGACGATGAATGTGTTTATGTTCCTTATGTTCTTAGCCAGAATTTTAAGGCAAATTTAAATTTTTACCAAATAAATAGTGTTGAAACTGGCATGGCATGCGACGTCTACGAGTTGAATCCTTGTGGACTTGAGGTTGAGAACATCAGCTTCTCCACAAAAGAGCAGAAATATGTCCAGCAGAGAGGACAGGATGAATCCACAGACAGTAGCCAGTTTAAAGCGTTCTGCACAGGGGTTGTGTAATCGTTTCATCCTAACAGAGGATTGCTCCACCACAAAGGCTAAAAACCACCATATGTTATCTAGTAGGCTACAGACCTTCAGCCATTATATTCAGTGGGAATGATGGCAGTGCTGTGATAAGTTTTCCAATTTGCACAGGTTCCTGTTATTTTATTTAATCACAATCAGAAAGTAAATCTCATGAAAATAAAAAACGGTCTCAAGTGTTTTGTGGTAATTGTATTTTCTGTAGTAGAAACTAGGGCTGCACGATAAATCATTT